AGCTTCCCCAGGCAAATAAGGAGGCTGACGATAACTAGAGGGCTCATTAGCTGATTTATTCGGCTTGCGAATGCAATGCTTCTTTCCAGTCGCCCGGAAAGGAGCAACTGGAGAGTAAAGTGTTGTAAATGCCAGCAAACAGATAAGCGACCCAGTGAGAGCTTGAAGAATTTTATTACTAAAATTGTCTGGGCTCGGGGCGGATTTTGGTTTTAAAATTTTAATAATGTCATGGACCTCTTCCGGGGTACACTGAATTTAAAGGATCGCCTTCCGGTGGAAGCGCAGTCCACTCGATTCCGATTCCGATTCTCGATTACGCGGCCCACCTCCTTTAGGTGGGTTGTAGCCGTGTGTTCGCGCGATGGCATACATTGCTCCTCTCGGTTGTCCGCAAAGCATTTGGCTTTTTCAGAGTCATCTAGGGCTATTGAAGCACTATTAGGTATAACTAACGGTGGTAGAGATTCGCGGGGGTCTGCTTTCAGACTACGGGCCAACCGCCAGTAGGCGGTGTGCGATGGCTCGATGTCCTTTAGGACAGTGTCCCACGCGATAAGTCGGTGTTCCGATACGCGATCTTTGACTTCTAGTTGAAGGCGTCGAAGTAGGATTCGGTTCTAGTCTGTGAATATACCACCGTTGTTTGTATAAATACACAATGTTCTATGTAACTATTCATTCTCATTGGCTCGAATCTAATCTGACTTTAACCATGAAGAAGTATTTTATAAAATTATTGGTGTTTTAGCAAATTTTTTCATTTTGTAGATATATATTGTAAATATTTATCATCGTCTTAATTAGCTAAAATTCTTTTGTATTTAAAAAAATGTTAACTACAAAAAATTACTTTTAAACTAATTTGTCGTTTTCGATTTTGAATTTACTAGAAGCTTAAGTTATGGTTGGGTTAGCAGGGTAGTAATTATTTTTGATACCTAATTCTCAAAGTGGAAATGGGAATACATAAAAGTAAATAAATTATATCAACTTAAATTCAGTATTTGAGAAACAATTTTGAATTAAAAGTTCGATAATGAAATTCAATTTAAATTCAAATAATTATTTTTGTTCAATATGGAAGAATTACAGTTGTTTATTGATTGACAAAACACTATTACCATTATTTGATAAAGGAACATGTTAACATGATGTTAAATTTCACGTAAAACAGTCTGGAGCGATCAATTCATTTTCAGGGTGTATTATAATTTAAATAATCACTTATCAAAACAAACAATTATGCTGTTTTATACCCTATGGTATTTGTCTTGTGTAGCAATAACATAAGTTTTCATACTTGTTTTTAATCAAAAATCTTAACATAAATTTTTTAATATTGGATTATCTTTATATATATAATTCTTCTGTACGTGTGTATGTTGTGTGATTTTCATGAATTTATTTTGCGTGTCTTCAGGTCGATTAGAGAATGGTTTAGATTCACAATTTTTTTTAAATGTATTTATACATAAGTTAGTCGGATTTAAGTGTACAGGACAGCATCTGTACGGTTCGCTAGTTATATTATAAACTTCTAAGTCGTATTTTTACCTCTGAAGTAAATTTTCAAATAATTTTTCGTGATAGATGCCAAGATCACCAGTATAAGATTAAATTTGCATTCCCTACAAATGAATGAATTACCATTTTGGGTATATCTTATAAGTGCATGTGCGAGCAAATCGAGTATGTTGACTATTCATCATCATCATCATTTCAGCCTGTTTGAGTCCACTGCTGAACATAGGCCTCCCCCATAGACTGCCACGAAGTACGATCCTGAGCCACCTGCATCCATCGACTTCCCGCACATTTGCACAGGTCGTCACTCCATCTAGTGGAGGGTCGTCCCACACTGCGATGGCCAGTACGAGGCTAACGAAGACATCCGCAGTAGAACCAAGGTAACCGACATAGCTCAGAGGATTAGCAAGCTGAAGTGGCGATGGGCCGGCCATATAGCTCGTAGAACCGATAACCGTTGGGGAAGAAAGGTTCTCGAGTGGCAGCCTCGTATTGACTATTACCAATGATTTTTTTAAACCGACGCACGGTTAGACTCCTATCGAACTTGTGGAGTGTTTGTAATGCTTAAAGTTTCCAAAGGCTAAATATTAATACAAATGAAAGTACAATCTGTAACTAGTAGTTCGTTAGATTAATACTTCGTTTATCAAAGTAAACGCCTATATATTAGACCTTCGAAGATACTACGATGAAAAAATCCAAGCAAACAGGCATCAGGCCAATTACGAAATTAATATAAGAGGATTCACGGTACAATTCTTGAGATAATTTGCAGTACGAAAGAAGAACGTGAACACAAATTATTTAATACGTGTAATAAACTTGATTAAGCATAGATGACTAAATATATGAACATTTTATGTTCTTGAAAATATAATAGTTGTTGAAAGTAGCCACATCAAAAGTAGTGTTTAAAATGAATACATATTGTCGCTATTAAGCACGGTGGTAACATAACAAAGAATGGATAGTAGCAGATAGCTTCTCATCGCATAACAATGCAGACAGAATTTCCTTCTATGCTACAAAGGTTTCCTATTTTCATTAGGATTTTTTTACCGGCAGATGTTTCATGATGACTAACATTCCATAGTCTAGGTTTGTGAAGGCGATAAATCTGCAATGCCCCCAATACTTTTTACCTAGTGTCATTAGCCCGTGACGACGTTCAGTGATTAATACAGACAAGAAACTTTATGAATAGTGAGAAAAACAGTGATAAATAGCTGGTAAACGTGAAAAAAGTTTAATCTGTTCTAGATAGCTAACTAAGCAACAACGATTTGCTAAAAATCCTACTGCCTTTACTTATTGTCTTTGATTGCATATATATAATTTAGCTTTTGCAAGTAATTATGTCAATATAAACCCTTTTCTTAAATGAACTTTAGTTTCCGTAACTGGCGTATGTCAATTAAATGGTACAAGTCATCTGCGTTCTCAGTGATATTTCAATCACAGTTTTAAGCATCGTTGGGCAACTGCGCTTTCGGTCATGAAGTCGTGCTTCTGTTTGTCTCATTTGTTGTAATCGAGACTTATCTGGAAATATAAACCGATGTCATTGTTTAATAATAAAGGAGATAAATTTTTGACTCCGTCATATGATATTTAACTGTTACTGTTATTATACATGTATTTTTTTATGCGAAAAGTTGTCAAACGAGCAGACGGTTCACCTGATGTTAAGTCAACCGCCGCCTATGCACATCTACACTCGAGGGTTACAGATGCGTTGACAACCTTTTGGAATTTGACAACCTTTTGGAACCTTTGGAACAAATTGGGAATACATGTATTCATGCATATATTTCTACAACAAAATCGCTAAGTAATGGCCATAGGCCATATATGCTTAATAATTTCTGGAAAATTGTAACCAAAAATAGGTATATCTCATATTGCATTCTATAAGAATTCATTACATTTCATCAGAATTATATATATTTATCTTTTGGCGTGAGCAATGGTGGCAACGTGCAGACGACTTCTAAGTTATTACATCAGTGGATGCTACCAGCCATAAAGGGAAACTAAAAACTTAGGTGCTCTTCTATTATTTAAGGTATTTACCCGGATAACCAGGCAATTCACGCCAGAAGCAATCATTCAGGAACAGCTGCAGCATGGTTGAACCATAGTAATTCCCACGTTTTGTTTTTGCAGTAAATTGTTTTAAAGAGGATTTATAAAAGTCTGAAAAAAAGTCAGTGCGTGTTCACATTTTTCATAATTATTACGTCATATGACATATATAAGTGAAAGAGATAGCAGTCTATAGAGTTACACTAACTGGTGCAGTTTGAGCGCCTCAATTTCAGTGCGCTAGTGTCATATCATTCAAAACATACAATACATAAAAATTCAATGGTCAATTACAGATATAAAAAAAATACCAAGTAGATTATGATTTTAAAAACTAAAAAACCAGACTGCGTTTCTGTGTATTTTTTTATTTTGATATACCCCGTGTCATTCTCACAGTAAATACTAATCAAAAAATACCCCTTCTTCTGGCGGAGTCGGGTAAAAATAAAACACCAACTAGACGTAAGCTAAGGTTAGTTGGGGACAAAGCGGGTGCATTCGGGGAGTACCGCAATCTGCGTCAGAGTCAACTTCGGCCCACTTCGGTGACCTAGTCGTCTTAAAGTCCTCATGTTATGATCTGCTCGGGAGTAACTAGTTCACAGAATGAACTAGAGGATTAATTCACTTAAAACAAGTACTTCCGCTAGATCCGGAGGCTCTCCTCACATAAAAGTTCGTCAATACCATTCGTTCGCGAGATTCATCCTGTTCCTAATGAGGTGTTTTCAATATAGTGATGCCGTGATTTTCGACCACGGCCTCCTGCATTTCCGTCGTTTATACGAGGGATGAAAATGACAACGCCTTTTTACAAAATAAGGCAATCCAGTATATTGTATTTGAGATCGTTCTCGTGGTAAAATCTGGCATTGCTGTTATTATTGTCTAGTATATCTTGTCCAGAGGTATTCACAGACAGTATATTAAGTAATTCTAAAATACATTAATCATTTTGCTTAAATACAATAAAATATAAAAAAAGACGATACTTAAAGCAAAGCACCCATACATGTATGGATGCTTAGGTACTATCGTACTCAGCATATAATGTAACGCTAACTCTTGTTTCTATCCGGATATAATTCTGTATTTGTATAGATCCCCTCAAATCTTTAATCAAGCGTACGGATACGAATGCAATGAAATTGCAAATGTAATACTACCTGAATAATAAAAAATGCTGTAGTCCCAGCATTCGTTCGAACTCGTGATTATGTTTTATTCATACATTTTAATATTTGTTCGTTATTTATAGATCATATTATAGATAATTAACCTGTAAAAATAGAATAAAGTAGAACTAAGGTAAATGTGCGTGATACCTAATGCTCCGTCCTGCGCAACAGTCCCTTACGGTGGGCAATTAGTTGGGTATTATGCCGATATCTGGGGACGAATGCGCGATTGCTAGTAAATTACTCGGTGCGTCCGTGCCGCCGTCATTACGACCGGTGCCAGCAGCCGGGGACAAGGCGCTGTACGAACGAGGATGCGTGCGTGTCATGCGTAATTATTTTGTAGCGCGCTACACCTTCGCTGAACTGTTTTCAATGTTGGCTCCATTTGCGAGACAGCATGTAGAACCAGTAGCTGGACACTGTGGTTAGTACTGCCGTGATGTAGCCACTAAAAAGACTGACTTCGCGGGCGATTGAGATGCGTACCCTTTCTGGTTTGCGGCATAATGGCGTATTCCGTGGGAAATTTCAAAATCTATTCCAATTTATAGCTACCCAGCTATCTTATTCAAAGTAGCTGTTTATCTTCACTTAATACTCATAAATAAATAAATAAATATTTCGGACACATTTCTTACACAACATTGTCTAGTCCCAAACTAACTAACGCTTGTACTATGGGTACTAGAAAACTGATAAACCTACTTAAACAAACTTTTCTTTTGTAAATAAATACATATTATACATTTATATAAACACCCAGACACTGGAAAAACACGATGTTTATCACACAATATTTTTCCTGTAGTGGGGATCGAACCCACACCCTCTCACGCTAATTGGGTCGTCCCACGCCAATTGGGTCGTCATATTCATATCCTTACCACAGCTAATACAGAAATATGAATAATTGTTGTGATTTTTATGAGATACGGTGGCAAGCGAGCGGTTTACCCGGTGTTAAGCAATAACCGCCGCCCATGGAAAATTTAAACACCCGTAGGGTTGCGAACGCGTTGCCACTTTTTAATATAGATAGCCAGGGTCACTCACCAGACGAAACATAGAAGTGTAACACTTCCACTTAATGCTGTTCTTCTGTTACGTTATTCCCCGGACAGAGATGCCCATTCGTGCAACAGTTGCGTGGCTCTACCACTGATGAAAATGTAATACGTATAATTGTTTATTTCTTTACCAACTGTCTCATTTACCTTAAATAAATATTACAGAGCGCGCACTTAACTATTTTACCTCTTTTAACGCAATTACCTCCGGAACAAAAATTAATTTTTGTGAGACTGTCGTCCTTCCGTAAACGGCGGCCCGATGCTCTATCACAACAAAATCTCGGACTTTTTATGCACTTCATTGAGTTTTATAGTGCTTTCAAGCTCCCAGTACTGCGATTTACTGCGTACGTCACCGTAAGAGATTAATTTTCAGGTCTTCAGTAATTTTACGTTCATGTTCTTGAACATAAAATTGCTCTTACTATAGGATAACGTAGGCCAGTGTTGTTGGGCACTTTGTATGCACAAATAACACATGGGTAAACGCCTAGAAATGTAACGATTACCTGTGGTTCAGCTAACAAAGATCCTAGAAAGCTTATTTGGCTCTTGAGCTCAGTAATTTCGTCGATACGCCATCTCAGCTTTCATCTCTGCTCTGCTTGTCACCTTCACCATATGTGTAAACACTGATATTGGATAATCTTATCTCGTAGTTCAAATTAAATTTTTTTCCATGAGAAGGCGGCGAGCGAGCTAGCCGTTCACCAGATGTTAAGTTATAACCGAAGCCCATGGACATTTGCAACACCCGTAGGGTTGCAGATGCGTTGCCAACATTGAAAAAGGGGACCCCGGCTAACTCACTCACCAAGCGAAATGCAGAATTTATAACATCCATCATATATAACCTTCCAACCATAACATCTTCCACTTCAAGCCGGTCTTCTGTAAGGTCGTGCCACATATCCGGATGGACCTGTCCATTCTTGCAAAAGCCAAAGCTGTTGCCTGGCCCTGTCAAAGTCGAAATTTCGTGAGAGAAGAGAAACATTAAAAGATAAGAATATATATTTATAGAAAGAGAAATAATCTTTATGGCTAACCATATAACTGATTTTACCATGGAAACTGTCACTGCTGATCATTATAATTATGAAAGTCGACAGTAGTTGGATTAGCAACGCTTTCGACGAACATGTATATAATCCGTTAATATACTAGACTGACTTTATGTCTGATAGTAATTATATATAAAGTTACTTTACTTTACTTTATCAGCCATCAGTGTCCCACTGCTAGGCAAAGGCCTCCTTCCATTTCTGCCACTTCTTCCTGTCGTGGGCTATATCGGACCAATCCCTCACAAATGCGTCCAGTTAGTCGCGCCATCTCTGTTTGGGCCTGCCGCATTCCCGTCTTACATTTTGTGGGACCGATTCGGTAGTAGCTTTGGTGTTAGGCATGCGGCAGACATGACCAGCCCAGTCAAATTTAAGCTTGGCGGCTTTTTGGCCCGCATCGGAAATTCGCGTTCGGGAGCGCAGTGTTTCATTTATTACGCGGTCTGTAAGCTTTTGACCTAGCATAATGCGCTCCATAGCCCGCTGGCAGACCGCGAGTCTGGATTTCTGCAACTTTGTCAAAGACCATGTTTGTGCACCATATGTGAGGATGGGGAGAATGCACATGTCCATGAGCTTCTTTTTTAGTTTTATCGGGATGTGGCCCTTCATCAGCTCTTTCATGGACCAAAAACTCCTCCAGGCATTGTCTATTCGGCGTGTCAGCTCTTTGTCCTGTCTTGCCTGGAAAGAGATTATTTGGCCCAAATAGATATACTCATGGACATGTTCAATCTCCACACCATCTATGCGTATTCTTTGCGTGCAACCAACCTCGCAACTCGCCGCGTTTAGTTTGTTCCCGTTCCCGTTCGCAGGGTGACGAATAGAAGAGGACAATGTCATCTGTGAAACGGAGATTCGTTAATCTGCGCTCACCAACGACAATGCCCCGCTCTCTCCAGCTAGCCGCCAGCTTTTTAAAAACTTCTTCTGCTATGAAGGGTTTCGGAGATAGTGGGTCTCCCTGCTTTACTCCTTTTTCTATTCGGAAGTACGGTCCCGGCGTTTGCAATTTTATCGAAGCTGTACTATTGGAGTATATGTTTCTGAGTTGTTGGATATAAGTTGGTTCTTTTTTTTGGTGTTCGAGTGCCCTAAAAAGAGCCGTATGGTGAATGCTGTCGAAAGCTTTGGTATAGTCAATGAAGGCTAGGTACAATGGCATTTTATACTCCTGATGTTTTTCTATAATTTGGTTGAGCGCTTGTAGATGGTCTGTAGTAGATAGGCCTCGGCGAAAACCTGCCTGTTCTGAAGGTTGGTGAGTGTTGAGATTGACTGAAATTCTAAATTCTAAAATTTCATATAAGTGGGACACTAGGCTTATGGGTCGGTAGTTCTCAATATTGGCTTTGTGTCCATATTCAAATTCACGTCATTTATTCATCGAAATAAGAAATATACATTTCATTTATCGATAGTCATTTTTTAAATCTAACACCGTTTCGTAATAAGATTCCACTAACGGAGAAGAAACAGGCGAAAGAAACTCCGTAGGTATCCTCTTTTTTGTAATTTTTTTTTTCAACAAATACTTTTTTATACAGTACATATTTTTATTTTTAGAAACAGCTTAGGAGCGATCATCTCATTCCCAGGGGTTATTATCGTTAATGTATTCATTTATATTATAATAACCCTTTTAAAAAGTTTTTCTTTAATAAATTTCTTAAACCTGTTAATAGATAGGCTTTGCACATTAACTGGGATTTTGTTGTAGAAGCATATACACCGTCCCATGAACGAGTTATAAGGAGTTGTAACTGGTGTTACAAGCTTGTGTTTGTTCCTAGTACATTATGTACATCAGTATTCTTATTAAATTTATTAATGTTTCTATGTACATACGTTACATTTTCATATATATATTGAGGGGCCAAGGTTAAAATATTTATTTCTTTAAATTTCTCTCTCAGAGATGCAAAATAAATATTGTTTCAACATCGGCTGTATGCTCCCATAGAAAAATACCGTATGACATTATGCTATGGAAATAAAAGCACTACACGACTAACTAAACGATTCTAGCTGTATTCAGTCAGACATCTTATTTTTATTTGTGCAGTAATATGATATTTGAGTGGCAGAACTTTTGAGGAAAATTACTTGTTCGTAAAATTAAATTAAATAGATTAGTGATGTGAGGTACAAGAGTTGATTTTCCTATTTTTAACGCTTCGGTTGTGACGCCATCATCTCCCGGACTTTTACTGTATTTCATACTCCTTAGCGCATTTTCAAACTTCTTCGTCAGTTATTTGTGGTAAATTTGGTGAGTACGAGTATGTGGTTATTGCTTGTTGAGGTCTCAAGTTGTTTGAATATAGCGTTTTATAAAATTCTGAGCATATTTTAACTAATTTTCCTTTTTCTGTGTCTTAAACCATTGTTGTCTTTTAAACTAGTTATGTAAGATTTTCCTTTTCCTATTCCTTGTTTAGCTATTTTCAAAGACCTGTTCTTCTCTAGAGTATTTTGGATTATGTTTTCATTATGTTTTCTAATATCTTTTTGAATATTCCTCTTAACTTGTATATCAAATCTTTTGTATTCTGGTGTGTAGTCCGTATACTTCTATCTTTCCTGTAATAGTTTTTTCGTAGGTACACTTAATTTTTGTTCTTTTGTTTAGTTATTGCTTTTACTGCATTTAAATTTCTTACTAGCTTCGTTAATCACACTTCAGACGGTTTTAATCGAGTGCTCGTGTCTAATATATCGAAGCTGTTTCATAATTCAAGATTATATTGATCATAGTTAGCAAGTAAGGACGATTTATCTACTTTTAATATATAAAGTATTTAAAATAATTTCATTTTTCATACATTCGACCGCATGTTTCTAAGATATAAATTTTGTTTTTTAATTATTTGGGGTTTTTGTTTATTAAGTACTAGCTGCTGCTCACGACTACATCTGCGTCAAATAGGCTGAATGCGTAACATTCAGACAGAAAAACAGATATAAATAAAATATGTTTATAAATTATAGCCTATGTCTTATTCTGATGTATAAGCTATATTATTGTAAAATTTCATTAAAATCTATTCAGTAGTATTTGCTTGAAAGAGTAACAAAACATCCATCCATACATACAAACTTTCGCCTTTATAATATTAGTAAGATTGCTTTCGCCTTTTTTTTTTTTTTTTTTTTTTTTTATGTGAAAAGTTGCCAAACGATTAGTAAGAATACCTGCTTGGACATCTGCTACATAGTTAAGATCAAAATTGGGCTCCGGCTACCTCACTCACCAGACGAAACGCGAAAGTATTTGTCTCGTCCA